AGAAAAAAGCAAACCCCTTCAAATTGCCAGTAAATAACATTTGACTGCTTCTTCTTTTGTTAAAATGCCATGGGGGCACCACAAATGTTCCCCAAAATACTTTCCAGAACCTTGAGGGTATTTATTGAAGGGGTTCCATGTCATTTTTGCAAAGAAACATAAGCTGACAGGGACCTGTAATTTAACAGCATTTAAACAGCATTTTTTTTCTTTGTAAATGTCAGTGTTGCTGTAGTAAGTTGTATAATGTACATCCTACAGATGCACCACTTCATTCTCAGGTTTAGGGTACCCACAGGCAAATTATTTAAAGGAATTGGATACTTTTAAGGTTTCCTTTGAAATATTATTAAAATCATTACTGTTGGCCAAACTGAATTTTTTTAAACTTAACCACTTTCCACCTGTAGAACACCATATAAAATCCTGGACTTTATGTGGAGAGATCGGGAATGATACCTGCAGCTACAGCCACCTTCCTAGTACCTTTTTTTTTGCCCATTGATTCTCTGTAATGTAAAAGCAGTCCTAGTGAATAATTAGCCTCCCCCCTCCTGCTGCTCCATGGTGCCTTCCTGGGCTTACCTGTCATCAGGGAGCCTGAAACTGAAGTCAGCGCAGCATATGGCTTACCATAGAGCTGAATGGGGACTGGAACGTCCCCGAACATCTCTATGGTATTAGAAACTGGAAGCAATGAGTTATTTGTTACTTCCAGTTTCACCAGATGTAAACAAAGCAATTATCTTGATGTGATGCAGCCAGATCTGCAGTATAATAGACCCCAGATCTCTCCGTAAAGATGTTTGCATTCCTTGTGATAGCAATAAAAGTGATTTTAAAAAATTAAAGAGAAAGTGTAAAAAAAAAAAAATGTAAAGTGCGCTATGCTCATGTGCAAAGGTGAATGCATAAGTAGGTCACACATTCCTGTGTAAACAGTGTTCCTACCACACACATGAGGTATTTCCACAAACATTATAGCAAGGACAATTTTTTTAGCACCAGACCTCCTGCGTTTAAATCCAAACTGGTAACCTGTTAAGATTGCCCATGGAGATTTTTATGACTCTCTCCCACTTGTCTCAGCTATAGTCTCCCAGATTCTCTCAGCTGGCCCAACTCTCTCAGTCCACTGACCTGGAACCTCTCCGATATGAAGTGCCATCTCAAGGATATTGCCTTGGTTTTTAAACAGGGCACCTCCCTCCTGTCTGCAGAAACTGCTCCAACTCCTACTCCCCTTCAACTCTTACCAGACCATCATTATAAGGGATATGTGCACCTGGGTATACACCATGCTGGTTGTCCACAAAACCCAGACACTGGACTAAAGATTTCTTCCCTCTCAAGGCACTTTTAAATCTACAAAAACAGAGCTCCATCTAGAAGTACCAAAATCCAGAGAAAGATGCAAAAGCAGTTTTCTCCACTCAAAATCAATGTTTTTCAGTCCTGCACTCAGCAAATGTGCAAACCATGTGTCCTTTTTCTGACCCTTTCCACAGTGACAGAGCCTTGCACTGTCACAATGCTCTTTAAGTGAAGGAGTCTTATAAAGTGCCCAAGAAGCTGTTCAAGTGCCTCCACCTTTCATTAGACAGACACTCACCACAGAAGTATGCCTCTCTAGTCAAAGATTGGCATAGAGTAATTTATATCAGTAGTTGTTCAATATTGCAGGCTCCCCTCCATAAAGATGCTATTTCTCCTCCTTTCTCCTCCATGTACAGTATATTGCCAAAAGTATTGGAACGTCTGCCCTTACACACACATGAACTTTAATGGTATCCCAGTCTTAGTTCGTAGGGTTCAATATTGAGTTGGCCCACCCTTTGCACCTATAACAGCTTCTGGGATGGCTGTCCTCAAGGTTTAGGAGTGTATCTAATGTAATGTTTGACACTGATGTCGGACGAGAAGGCCTGGCTCGCAGTCTCCACTCTAATTCATCCCAAAGGTGTTCTATCGGGTTGAGGTCAGGACTCTGTACAGGCCAGTCAAGTTCCTCCATCCCAAACTCGCTCATCCTAGTCTTTTTGGACCTTGCTTTGTGCACTGATGCTCTGTCATGTTGGAACAGGAAGGGCCATCCCCAAACTGTTCCCATAAAGTTGGGAGCATGAAATTGTCCAAAATGTCTTGGTATGCTGACGCCTTAAGAGTTCCCTTCACTGGAGCTAAGGGGCCAAGCCCAGCCCCTGAAAAACAACCCCACATCATAATCCCCCTCCACCAAACATTACACTTCGCATTATGCAGGCTGGTAAGTACCGTTCTCCTGGCAACCGCCAAACCCAGACACGTCCATTGGATTGCCAGACAGAAAAGTATGATTTTGTCACTCCAGAGAACACATCTCCCCTGCTCTAGAGTCCAGTAGCGGCATGCTTTACACCACTGCATCCGACGCTTTGCACTGCACTTGGTGATAAGACTTGGATGCAGCTGCTCGGCCATGGAAACCCATTCCATGAAGCTCTCTACGCACTGTTGTGCTAATCTGAAGGCTGCGCAAAGTTTTGGAGGTCTTTAGCTATTGACTCTGCAGATAGTTGGTGACTTCTGTGCATTGTGCGCTTTAGCATGCGCTGTCTCCGCTCTGTCATTTACGTGGCCTACCACTTGGTGGCTGAGTTGCTGTTGTTCCTAGTTGCTTCCACTTTGTTATAATACCACTAACAGTTGACCATGGAATATTTAGTAGCAAGGAAACTTCACGAATGGACTTATTGCACAGGTGGCAACTAGGGGTGGACTAACAACTCATGGGGCCTCGGGCAATAGGGGATCATGGGGCCCCTGCGTCCTTGCCCAAACTCAAAAAAGCCTATGAAAAAGGTACCAGGGGCATCTCATGGGACCCCCTACTGACCCCAGGCCCTCGGGCAGTGCTGAGTTTCCAAATGGTCAGTCCGCCCCTAGTGGCAATCTATCACAGTACCACGCTTGAGTGTGACCCATTCTTTCACAAATGTTTGTAGAAGCAGTCTGCATGCCTAGGTGCTTGATTTTATGCATCTGTGGCCATGGATGTGATTTGAACACCTGAATCCAATGATTTGGAGGGGTGTCCCAATACTTTTGACAATATAGTGTATATCCACCACACAAAAGAGCTGCAGGCGGTCCGAGCCGTCAGCAATAACAAGTATCCTTTATGGCCCCCTGGGTTATCCTCCTTGAATACTACCATCCCCCTAAATACAGTATGAAGTGTTTAATATCTGGTTTTCTCTACCATATTTTTGGCATTTTTCCTTGTGGCTTTATTTTACCTCCTGCAATATATGGTATCTAAGAGTGCCATTAATACATGGCTTTGTTGACTGATATATGACATTTCTTTTAATCTATGGCATCTCTGATACATAGCACACAGATTTTATCTGCCTTCCTCTTATGTATGTCTGTCCTGTCAGTTGTATTAGGGATTCTGTCATTTAGGACAAAATAAGGCCTGGGAGTATACTGAAGAGAAAGCAGTAGTTAAATAGGATTTTTGTGTCAGTGGGAGTAAGAACTGCCCCCAGCATTGGTGTCAGTGGGAGAAATAGTAACTGCTAGCATTGGTGTCAGTGGCTGCAATAAAAACCCTCAACAATGGTGTCAGTGGCGGTACTATTTCATTTCTGCCAGCAATCCCATGACTTCCACCATTTATTGTCAGTGGCAGTGTAAATTATCCCTCTACATAGTTGGTCAGTAGCAGTGAAATATACCCCCCACCCCCCATGTATTGGTGATTTGAAATGTATCCACCTGCATTGCTGTTCAGTAGCAGTAAAATGTCACACCTACATTGGTGGCACACCCATCAGAACTAGTGGTCATTAGTGGTGAGCTCGGGTGTGTTAAGTCTAGGATCCAAATCCATGAGTGAGCCCATGTGTGCATCAGAAAGCTTTTACCTGTAATGGGTTAAGCCTGCCAGAACTGCCCCTCTGCTGTGTGCCCCCTGAAATTAAGCTTTGCTTGCCAGAACTGCCCCTCTGTTGTGTGCCCCCTGGACTTAATCTTTGCCAGCCAGAACTGCCCCTCTGCTGTGTGCCCCCTGGACTTAAGCTTTGCCTGCCAAACTGCCTCTCTGCTGTGTGCCCCCTGGACTTAAGCTTTGCCTGCCAGAACTTCTTTCCACTATGTGCCCCCTGGCCTTAATCTTTGCCTGCCAGAACTGCCCTTCTGATGTGTGCCCCTGGACTTAAGCTTTGCCTTCCAGAACTGCCCCTCTGCTGTGTGCCCCTGGACTTAAGCTTTGTCTGCCAGAACTGCCCCTCTGCTGTGTGCCCCTGGACTTAAGCTTTGCCTGCCAGAACTGCCCCTCTGCTGTGTGCCCCCTGGACTTAATCTTTACCTGCCAGAACTTCTTTCCGCTATGTGCCCCTGTAAACCGTGTACCGGGGTGGGCTCCCCAGGATACAGTGAAGTTACAAACGAGGAAAGCAAACCCCAAAACCAGCTTTTGCCACAACAGAATTTTACTTCGATGTGGCAAATAAACACAACCACAAATGCTGAGAACATACAATAAACTTACATACACCCAGCCCAAAGGCTGAGACCCTTGTGCTGCACAGCACGGCGCCTCCTGATGGATGAAGGTAGAAGATGTAGTAATTTACCTACTGGCGGGCACAAATAAGCTGCCACACCTTACCCGTTATTACCCTAAAAGAGCAGGAATCAGTGTATGGGTGTACGGTATGACCTAGCCTGCGGTGCAGCACAACAGCTTACAATCTTACACAATTCTACAGTATTCCCCCTCCCATAACTGGTCCTGTAGCACGTGCCTGAGTATTCCTTCTGAGCAAAACGCCAGTCTGGCTTGAGTTTGTGGAATTTTATCAGCTCTCCAAAGTGAAATGTCACTTTAAGTTATGGAGTCCTTCCAATGAACAGTAATAACACTTGTGGCCTGACACAAACAGAGACCCTAACTAACTAATTATAGGCCTGGCCTCAGTCTCTAGGCGCCAACACTGAAATGAGGTGCATGCACGATCTTACCGACCCTGGTCTGCTTTGTATACACTGGTGACTCTGAACAGAACAAATGTCTCTCCAACAAGCATGAGATATCGCCGTATATGTTGCTTAGTTCCTCTGCTCTCATCAGCATTCCTGGCAGCAATCTTCCTTTCTCTGAACAGGATCAGGGTCTTGGACATGATCAGCTTCACTTAGCTGCAGCTCTGGTTACTGATGGATGCTCTCACACCTGGATGCCATCAGATTCTCTGCTCACACTGCTCCTGCATTCACCATCCACAAAACATGGCTGCTGTCTCTCCTCTTTCTGTTTCCCTCAACTCTGTGTGAAAACCCCACCTCTTCATGAATATAGAAATATCTATGCAGTCTGAGGCTGTGTTAGGAAAACAGTGGCATCTTGTGGCCAAACCGCAGAATGTCAGTCCTGAACATTTAATTTACTCCACACAATAATGTACTGCACACAAACAGTGTTCAAACAATGAGAGCTGTTTCCCCATCTCACATGCCACCCCAATAGAGGTTGTCGCCCTCGGCAACCCTCCCCATACAAACTCATTCTGGGCATAACACTGTGGGGGCACACCAGCATTGGGCCTTGTTGACCTTCGTAGAGTGACAGGCTCCAGAAGCACTGGGGACATCCGGCACATTTAATGGGAGAGGAGCTGCTGACCGCTCAACATTTTCCCTTGGTGGCAAACTTGTTATGGTTGGAGCCTCTGTGGGTACTGGGGCAGGGACAACCCACCATTCCTCCCCCTCCTCTAAGGGGATTTCCTCTGTACCCTGAGCAGGGGGAGCCATCCCCTTCACGCACACTGGTTATTAAAATTACAACGCCTCAACATATTACGGTGCAAGGTTCATGAGGGCCCCCCAGTCCCTATTGGCTCTACCTCATAGACCGGGATGGCAGGGTCTACCCTCCTCTTCACTATGTATGGGACCGCCTCCCACTGCCCATCCAACTTTCCAGATGGCCGCTTGGCTTTGACTATCACTCGATCACCTGGAGCATACCCCTCCTTCTGCACTGGTCTTGGATTGGGGTATACCACTTGTCTAAGGCGCTCCCCCACAACCTTGTGGATCGCTCTCATCCGGCGGTGGTGCTCTTGCACCCATGCGGTAGTATTTCTCGGTGGTGGCTCCATCGGATCGGGCATGTGGAGATCTTAAATCTCCCGTCCAGCTCTCCCAAACATGAGCATATGTGGGGAGTATCCGGTGGTACTGTGTACCCTGTTATTATAGGCCCACATCAGTTCAGGTAGGTATTCGGGTCACCAAGCCTTTTGGCGGTCCTCCAGAGTCCGCAGCATCTGAAGCAAGGTGCGTTGCGGTTGAACCACTCGCACTCCCCGTTTCCCTGGGGGTGATACGGGGTGGTGCGGGAATGTTCGATCCCATACAGTTGGTACAACTCGTTCATTAGAGTACCCTGAAAACATGCCCCCTGGTCCGAATGTATATTCTCTGTGGACGCCCGAACACCTGTATAAAGTGTTTGCAGACCGCATCAGCGGCCGACTCTGCCGTCTGGTCTCTGGTGGGTACAGCCACCGCATACTTTGTGAAATGATCTGTCATGACTAGACAGTATGAGTGTCCCGAGGTAGAGTACCCAATCTGTACATAATCAATCATAAGGAGCTCTAGAGGTGCTAATGTCTGGATGGCCTGGACAGGAGCCCGCTGTTCAGTGCTCTTACTCAGCCCTCAGGGCCGACACTTAAGACATGCCTCGGCCACCGTGTCTGCCAAATCTGGACAGTACACGAGCCGTTGGAGCCACTTGAATGTTTTATCACTCCCAAAATGGGCACCCCTCTCATGGGCTTCCAGGGCAGCCTCCGGTCCCAATGACATGGGGATGACAATCTGTTGCTGGTACTGCAACTCTGACTGCAAGTATATGGTCCGACACAGGAGGCCCTGGGTAACAGTCAGCTTATCCCACTGCCTCAACAACTTTTGGCCCTCGGGAGTCAGACGAGCCCGCTCTTCTGACCGAGGCCAGATCTTGATCCGGACCCATTCTTTCACTTTCCACAGGTCCGGGCAGCTATTCTGGCCCCCCTCCCAATCAGCCAACGTCTTTCCCAGCACCATTGGCATCCCGTACGCCACCCCACTTGAATGTGCCACGTCCTGGAACATAGGTAATCGACCAAGGTCAGGAGATTCAGTGTCCTCTAGCTCCTCATCGGCACTCTGAGCTGGCAACCCTACAGGGACTCGGGAGAGTGCATCGGCGTTGCCGTTCTCCCTACCTGACCAGAACTTGATGTGGTATTGGTACTTAGAAAGATGAGCCAACCACCTCTGCTCAAGCGCACCGAGTTTGGCATTTTCCAGATGTGCTAACGGGTTGTTGTCCGTCATCACAGTCACCTCCGCACCAGCCAGGTACTCCGCAAACTTTTCAATCATGGCCCACACCAGTGCCAGTAGTTCCAATTTAAAGGAGCTATAGTTGTCAGGGTTGCACTCTGACTCCCTCAGAGACCGGCTGCCATAGGCAATGACTCTCTCACGTCCATCCTGGACTTGGGATAACACAGCCCCCAGACCATGTAGACTTCTGTCAGTGTACAGCAGGAATGGGGTGTCGAACCGCACATAAGCCAGAATCGGGGCACGGATCAGCGCCCCCTTCACTGCTTCAAAGGCCCCTTACTGCCGGGGTCCCCATTCTATGGGATGATTCTTCAGGCCCCCTGCAGTGCCCCTTAATAACTCATTTAACGGGCCCACCAAATGAGCAAACTTGGGTATAAACCTCCTGTAGTAGCCGGCCAGTCCAATGAACGCCCGCACCTCTCATAGTGTACTCAGCTGGGGCCACTTCTGGACGGCCCCCACCTTGTCAGGGGTTGGCTTTACCCCCTCCTGGGCGACCAAATGTCCCAAATACTCTATCTGCTGTCGAAACAGTTGGCACTTCTTGGGCTTGATTTTGAGCCCAAGGTCTCGCAGCCGTTCTAAGACCTGTCACAGTTTCCGGAGGTGATCCTCAAAAGAGGCCCCAAACACTACTACTACATCATCCAGGTATATCAATATTGACTCGAAGTTGAGATCTCCTAGACAGTGCTCCATCAACCGCAGGAATGTTCCCGGGGCATTGGACAGACCAAATGGCATCCAGTTGAACTCGTAGAGTCCCATAGGTAGGATGAAGGCCGTCTTCACTTTGTCCTACTTGGCCACCGGTATCTGCCAATACCCACTGGCCAGATCAAAAGTTGAGAAGTACTTCACATGACTCAGGGCGGACAACGACTCCTCAATCCACGGAAGGGGGTAGGCATCCCGGACGGTCTGGGCATTCAGCTTCCGATAATCCACGCAGAAACAGAGACTTCCATCTTTCTACCGCACCAAGACTACTGGAGCAGGCCAAGGACTTTGACTCTCCTGGATCACCTGGTTTTCCAACATGCTGGCCACCATATCCTTCACCTCCTGGTACATTTTAGGCGGGATTTGCCGGTAACGTTCCCTGATCGGTGCAGCATTGCAGGTGGGGATTTCGTGTTCGATTATGGAGGCACACCCGAAGTCCTCCTCATGTCTTGAGAAGGCCTCCTGAAATTCCCAAAGGGTGTCTTCCAGTAACTTCTGTTGTCCTGGAGTCAGGGTCTTGCACTTCACCCCCATCCAGGCCATGATCACTTGACCACTCCACTCCGCTGTCGGGGTCTCCCTTTGATGGACCTCTACAGCATAGGTCCAGGCTGATATCCTATCTGGCCATATCGTGAAGCTCCTCCGTCGAGGAATATCCCCTTCGGACACATAAACTTTGGCCAGCAAGGTATTCCCAGGGACGGTTAACTCACAGTCTTCACCGTTGAGGCAGCGTACAGGCACACATCCATCCTTCACATTAGCGAGGGCCCCAGGCTACCAGTGGATGAGTCTGTGTTTCTTCTTGGTAAGCGGGCTCGATCAGGACCTCCAGTCCATTCAGTTGTCGTCCAGCCCCAACCGGCAGCATCAATATTCGCTCTTGTCAAGGCGGGATCTTCACCGGGGTCCTCCGTGGCACCCTCACGTGTCCAATGGGCTGACCAGACATGTTGCCCTTTCGCAGACTACAGCTCCTCACCATCTGCCATAGAACCTTCTGGGTTGGCCGGTGCGTAGTGGCCCGTTGCCAATACCTCGGCCCTTCTTTGGCATAAAGTTGATGGTCTAGGTCTCTCAGCACATTCATAACTAGTGTCACGTCCATCCCTCTGCGGGACGAATGATCCACCAGCACGACCCCCTTCTTGCCGATGTCTTGCCCACACAGCTGGACCCGCATCCAGACTATTCCTCGGACGTCCATCTCTCTGTTATTGGCAGCGGTCAGCTTGATGATGCTCCCGTCTTCCGGCTCCATCACATGTCAAAAGTGTCTTTCGAAGAACTCTAGAGGCATAAGTGTGCACTCTGACCCTGTATCAACTAGGCAGCATACCTTCTGGCCTTCCAACTCAGTTTCCATAATGGGGCTGCTGGCATACAGGTCGTGCTCCTCATGTTTAGGGCTTAGCTTCTGGTGTATCGCCGCAGGACGCCCAGCTGCTGCGGCGGTCGGAAGTTTAACGTCGGCCCGGACTTCATCTGTTCTGGGCACTCTCTGGCCATATGGCCATACTGTCGACAAGCCCAACAGAGGGATCCCCTTTTGACGTGCCCCCGCAGCTGAGTTATCCTGGGTGGAGTGGAGTGGCGCGGGGTGCTAGGGTCATTTCTGGAGGCCGGGGAGATTCTGCCTTCATCTGGGACACTTCCAGCCGAAGTTCTCTTAATTCTGTCCGCAAGGTCTGGACCACATCCCTTAAGGATTCTGAGTTTTCAGATGCAGACTGACCTCTTGTAGCATGGGTACTACTCACTATTCTCGCTGCCACAGGTATGCACTCTTCCTCTCTCTCCACGGCGGCTAAGTAGATGCTGTAGAATGTCATGTTGGGCACCGTCCCGGTCATCTCTTGCAATTTGTCCTGTAAGAACTTGTTGGAGAGCCCCACTATGAACTGATCTCGTAGTAGCCGGTCCACCTCCCGGAAAGCTCCCATGGCCTCTGGATCTCGCCCCTGTATTTCATTTAGCGCCTCCTGTAGGGCATTGGAGTACTGCATCAGGGTCTCGCCCTCTTGCTGTGGTCGGTTGAAGAAATGGCTCCGCAGCTGCACTACTTTAGCACGCCCCCCTTGGGCTCTGTCCAGCAGGGAGAATATTTTCTCTAGGGTGTCTCTCCCAGATTTGGGCCTTACCATCACTGTCCGTCTGACGTCACCCTCTAGATCCCCCAATGCAACCTCTGCCCACAGCTCGGAAGCCAGGTTACACAGTCTAACCGCACTTTACACTCTTTCAGTCCAGTCCTGCAACATCATATTTTATCGTCAAATTTTGGCAGGTGACTAAACAGCGCCCCCACGGGAATGTGCCCTACTGGTACGGGCAGGGCGGGGGCAAGCTGTATCAGCAGTGTTGGGGCAACTTGGTCTTGCACTGGCGCACCCTGAGCTGGGTCCTGGAATGGTGCCATTGGCGCCAGGGGAAGATCTCCCACTGCATTCCCATCCATAACGGTCGCTGTATCCTGCTGACTACGCCAAGTTGTAAGCCGTGTACCGGGGTTGGCTCCCCAGGATACAGTGAAGTCACGAACCAGGAAAGCAATCCCAACACCAGCTTTTGCCAGAACAGAATTTTACTTAGATGTGGCAAATAAACACAACCAAAAATGCTGAAAACATAGAATAAATGTACACAGCACAGCGCCTACTGATGGATGAAGGTAGAAGGTGTAGTAATTTACCTACTGGCGGGCACAAATAAGCTGCCACACACCTTACCCGTTATTACCCTAAAAGAACAAGAATCAGTGTATGGGTGTATGGTATGGGCTAGCCTGCGGTGCAGCACAACAGCTTACAATCTTACACAAATCTACAGTATTCCCCCTCCCATAACTGGTCCTGTAGCACATGCCTGAGTATTCCTTCTGAGCAAAACGCCAGTCTGGCTTGAGTTTGTGGAATTTTATCAGCTCTCCAAAGTGAAATGTCACTTTAAGTTATGGAGTCCTTCCAATGATCAGTAATAACACTTGTGGCCTGACACAAACAGAGACCCTAACTAACTATAGGCCTGGCCTCAGTCTGTAGGCGCCAACACTGAAATGAGGTGCGTGCACAATCTTACCGACCCTGGTCTGCTTTGCATCCGCTGGTGACTCTGAACAGAACAAATGTCTCTCCAACAAGCATGCAGTATCGCCGTATATGTTGCTTAGTTCCTCTGCTCTCATCAGCATTCTAGGCAGCAATCTTCCTTTCTCTGAACAGGATCAGGGTCTTGGACACTATCAGCTTCACTTAGCTGCAGCTCTGGTTACTGCTCTCACACCTGGATGCCATCAGATTCTCTGCTCACACGGCTCCTACATTCACCATCCACAAAACATGGCTGCTGTCTCTCCTCTTCCTGTTCCCTCAACCCTGTGTGAACACCCCACCTCTTCATGAATATAGAAATATCTATGCAGTCTGAGGCTGTGTTAGGAAAACAGTGTCATCTTGTGGCCAAACCGCAGAATGTCAGTCCTGAACATTTAATTTACTCCACACAATAATGTACTGCACACAAACAGTGTTCAAACAATGAGAGTTGTTTCTCCATCTCACATCTGCATTAAGTTAGTCTCATAACCTGTGGAATTAATGTTTGGTTTTAAAGGGATGAGGTGGCAACCCTACCTGGCACCCCACTGCCACTTTGCAAAGACCACATGTCCTGGGTTCTGCAGGGCAGCCTACAGCACGTGGACACTGTGGGACAGGGTGCAAGATAGGGTTGCAACCTCATCCCTTTAAAACCGAACACATATTAATTACACAGGTTCTGTGACTGATTAGGGAGATAATTAACCTTTTATTGTAGGCCTGTAATTCTTAGGAATAACTCACTGAAATCTGTCCAAACAAGAGTCTAGTAAACATCCCGGGTATGATAAAATTTGCAACACAAAATCATAAATTATAATATAATAATAAATAATCATAAACAATAATATAATAATAATAATTTTAATTTAATAATGTAATCAAACCAAAAACACTGACATTTGAAATATAGCTCCAAGTTCACACATCACTAAGCAAAGTCGCAGAATTGTTTTCAGTGTCTGATGACGAATTTTCCCATGAATCATTATCACTCAATTCTGCAAGTGGTTCTGATTTACTGTTCTCTAGCTGGTCTAAAACCTCTTTTGACCTAAAGGGATGCTTTTTGGACGCCATGGACATTTCCACGAATCATTATCGCTCAATTCTTTGCAAAGACCACATGTGCTGGGTTCTGCAGTGCAGTCCACAGTACATGGACACTGTGGGATAGGGTGCATGATAGGATTGCCACCTCATCCCTTTAAAACCAAACACATATTAATTACACGGGTTCTGAGGCTAATTTAATGCAGATAAGGCACCAAGTGAGTTTAATGACCACCTTAATCAGCCCCAGAACCTGTGTAATTATTATGTTTGGTTTTAAAGGGATGAGGGGGCAACTCTGGAGCAAGCTCAAATGACTGTCCCTCAGAATCTGTGATGCTTGGCAACTATACTGAACTAATGGCAGACTTTGCCCAAGTTGGCAAGCATACTCCTCTCTGTGTCATGGATGCTACTAGATGAGCTTACACTGTGCACAGTGATCTGATATCTGTATCATAAAAATTACTAGCACCAGTAGTAAGGTAAGGGCTAAATGCAGTGTTAAAGCAACTAAAGCAGCTGTGAAAATGTAAAATTGTCCTATGTGATTTGACACTCAGTGCCTCTTTAATAGAAAACTATGTACCTTTCCCCCGCTGAGCTGCATCATCTCAACATTCAAGTGTATGGATATCATTACATCCACCACCCCGGGGTGCACAAGCATTAGGGGAGAGTGATCGCAGCTGCATTTAACATTTTGGAAAGTTGATTGCTTGCTCCACACTCTGTTAGGAGAAGCACTTGCATGTCAAATTGCCCATGTGCCATTTGAGTTATGGCTGACCTAGCCACACAATTTTAATTCCATACGTGCTGTGTAACTTAACCTCTTGATGGCAGTCATCTCATTTAAATAAAAAGATCATGTAAGAGATCTATACAAAAAAATAGAGCTGTTGTTTAAAGCAGCCAGTAAGATTCGTGAAAGGAGATTGGTTGCTATTAGCAACAGCTCCATGTTTACGCAAAATGTCCCTGCTACAACTTTTACAGGCTAACACCATTACTTTTAAAATAATGATCATTATATACAGAATGGGACAAAAAAATTATAAATGTTTGATAAAAAATTTCACATATTTGCTTGCTTGCTGTTTCATATTTGATGGGCAGCACAGTAGCTAAATGGTTAGCACTTCCAACTGGCAGTACTACAGTCATTGGTTTGAATCCCAACCATGGCACTACCTGCCTGGAGTTTGCATGTTCTCCCTGTGCCTGTGTAGCGGCAAGATATGTCTCCCATGTAGATATGCCCCCCCTGAAGCAATTGTGCATGTCCTGGCGATCGGCGATCTCCAACTGTAGCACAGAGCTGCCAAAGCTAACCCCTTTTAGGCTGCACTGCTGATTATTGGGGAGCATAATGGATCGGAGAGAGGACAGTTACATGGTGGGGGGAGTGGCATGGGGAGTACAGACACATATGGGGGAGGACAGTGACATGGGGGGGGGGAGTGACATGTGGGGGGGGGGGGTCAGTGACATGGGGGGCCGTTGTAGCAGCAAGATGTATCTCCTATGTAGATATGTCCCCCCTCAAGCAAATTGGCATGGAAGGGGTTACTTAACCAAAGGTACATGGTCAGATACAGTAGTTCTATCATCGATTGATCGTGCCTGAAACCGGGAAATGCGCAGTTGCTTCAGGGGGGACATATCTACATGGGAGACACATCTTGCCGCTACACCTGCATGGGTTTCCTCCGGGTACTCTGGTTTCCTCCCACACTCCAAAGACATGCTGGTAGGTTAATTGGCTCGTGTCTAAATTGGCCCTAATATGTGTATGTATGAATGTGAGTTAGGGACCTTAGATTGTACGCCCCTTGAAGGTTAGGGACTGATGTGAATGTACAATATATATGTAAAGTGCTGTGTAAATTGACGGCGCTATATAAGTACCTGAAATAAATTATGGTATGTTGTATAATGATTATTGATGCTCCCTCTACTGGTTATCTGTATATCAGGGAATGTGATTGTATTAATGCATAGTCTACTACATTTAAGCAGGGCAGATTGATCTGTGGGCACACAGTACCACTAAGCAGGGATGATAAACTAAACATAAATACTATTATACACAAATAATATTACTACTACTATAATTATATATAAAGCATGGTCAAATGGAGACTGTAGTGTTTTTTTGCTTTTTTTTTTTTGCATTTTGAATAATTACATTGACCGAAAATCATTTTTTGACATGTTATATTTGTATTTACTTGTGTCATGTTTTCACAAGGCCGTTTGACAGAACAGTATTAACCGATCTATATTCACTATGCTGCATAATTAAGAAGAAAGTACATCCTGAACAAGTGTAGGTGTAAGTATATTTACAAACTATAAAAGATTTTTGAAACTTCAAGATTCATTAATATAAAAGTTTACATCAAGCTGACCACATCTTTTAAAAATTGACAGTTTTTTTGTTTTATTAGGTTTGAAAAGTCATAATAGGTTTAAAACTGAACTCCAGTAAAAGTCCTCCTTTGCAGGGGAGCTGCATTGGCACTCCAAGGGTTAACTGCTTAACTTTAGGAGGAGCAAGAAAAGCAGTTTTACTTGCCCAGTCCCTTGCACTGCTAGACCAATTCCTGCAGCCTCTTCTGCCTTGCACTCAAATGATCTAAGGTCCTCTGACATCATCAAGACCAATGCAGGGACCATAGACCTGCCCTGGACACAAAGACGCCAAGGGACGTTCCATTGCTGGAGCATGGGAAAGTTCCATTTGCAGATAAAGCAGAGGATCAGGTAAGTAAAAGTGTTTTTACCAGCCCCCTAGTCTAAATGAGTTGTTAACCCTTGTTAACTTTAAGTTAGCTAATGTTTAGATTTCCCGGAGTTTGGCTTTAATGTTTTTCAAGAGACTGCTAATATGCTTTGCACCAGTAACAATTTTTAAATGTCTCTTTCCAAGTGATGACATGCTAAAATACTGGCAGGTGAGCATTTTGACTCGTGTTTGGGGCTATTTACAACACTAAAAAACTGGGAATAGTTGTAGATCATCATGATCAATCCAATTCAATATTTTATTTTCTCAAAGAATATTGAATAAAGAGTTCATCCAATTAGTCACTATGGACAAGTTCTCAATTTTTTTGCTATTTTCTTTTCTAAATATTTTTATTTTTTTATATGATTTAGAGGCCACACAGAATGGGGTATATTATCAGTAGAGCAGGAGATTGCCTCTTGTGTTATTAATAAATAAGGGCTTGATAACACTTGGTGACCTACATTTTTCTGGACTAGATCAATGTTAGAGCACATAGAAAACAATTGTTTTCTATGTGACCCGTTCTCAACACAACAGTTGTGTGATGCACAATGCGGTGGAAAGCAGGCATCCTGCATTTTATGACAGGGCACTGGATGGCACTGCAGGTCACTGAACCGCAGTGTAGAGACCTAAATGGAATGTACACTTTGTAAGCTTCCAATAAAGTATAAAAAAAAGAAAAGGTAAACAGTTTATTCCATTGTAAAAAAAAAGGCACTGCTTGTCACTGCTGCTACACAGCAGACTCCAGCCCCATGCTAAAATTGATCGTTTTATCATGTGACTGGTGTGAACATAACCTAACACTTATGTGAAATAGATGTTTTACCACATGTACAATATGCCTATCATACCAGATCAGTGCAGAAATACTGTACAATGTACATAAAAATGCAATTTGCGATGGCATACATTTTTAGTGTGTCACACTGAGTTTTATTGTTTTCTGCACAGGCCACATTAGGGTTAAAATGTTTTTTTTCTACATTAGAAAAAATGTGTTACAGGAACTTGCATTGTGTTAAACGCAGGTCACAACTAGAGCACATTGAAAACAATTTTTATTTGCCTCAATCAATCACACCACCAACGTCAGTTTGAATTGTTTCAAAGCACACCGAATGGAGGGGTTGTCATGACATTGCAGCACAAAGTAGCATGCTGCTGTGCTAAGACATAAATGTTACTATGTGACACTTCAAATAAAGTTAAAGTGATAGTAAACTCGTTGAAAAAAAAAAGTTTCCTGCTGCAAGGTAATATCACAATTGTGTGGCGTGCATGGCATACTAGTACATTATGAAAGACTTACCTTAGAACGAAGCCCTCCAGCTGCACACTGTCGCCACTGCAGAAAGCTTCCATCTTCACCCATCTTCCTTCCGGGTTCGCGGGCTGTGGTTGCTTGCATGGTTGAGGA